GCAGGAATTCAGGTTTTCTGAATCTAGTCCTTATGCTATCTCTAAAACGGTAGGAAATGGGAGGCTGTGGTTCTTTCAGGAAATTGGTAAAGCAAATATTATAAAAGTCAGTCACACTCGAGAGACTAAAACTTGCCTCATCCTTTGCCACACACACAACACTGCGATGAAAATCAGTGTATACCAAATGCCTTATTTAATCGCCACAGAAATAATACTTTGTGTAAAAGGCTTATGGGGTTAAAGAACTATGTAAGTCAGTATGTTAAGTACGGCTCTCAACTTTATATGTACACATTCATACCCGGTACAAGCTTCTCTCAAACTGATCTCAAGCATCACTAGTAAAGAGTATAGTATAGTTTTTACTATGAAATTTCTACAGATGTCACTAAATACAATAGGTTCTAAAGCCATATCAAACGCCCATGGGACAAATGGAGAAGACCGTACTAGGAAAGAGATATGAATTTCTCCCTGAAGTTCTCCCATGAACTTATGCAGGAGGAACACCAGAGATTCTAGAGTATTTATATGGTATTTGGTTAATACTTTTTTATTAAAAGATAAATATTTAAAATTTCATCTTCATAAAATAAGTAAATATTTAAAAAGCAAAGAGTCCTGAGCACTAAGTCTAATAATTCAGAGACCATGAGGGTCAATAGGAAGTGAATTCCTTGGCGGGGACAAAAACGCGACGTAGACTAACACCGAATTCAAATGTGATAGCTCAGCCCCATTCTCCAGCACATCAGAAAACGTAGTTAAATGATAGTCAATGGCAGACATGATTCCCTTATTAACTTAATTCAGACAGTCTTTGTCTTAGTGGTGATCCTTACCTATTGCATATTAATCAAAAGACTCCAATGTCCTTGATTATGATTTCAATACCAATTCTTTTCAATAACTGTTGCTTCTAGAAAAAAAGTGAAAACTCTGAAGGAGAAGAGGATAAAGGAAAAAAATATGAAGATAAAGGAAGACAGCCAGCAGAGAAACCACTTGAAACATCCAAATGTCGAACAAGTTCTATTACAGCAGAGGAAGCGCACCAGTCAATTAGAAGGGCAGTTTTACCCAGAGGAACTACCCATCAATCACTCATCATCAGCATGGCTCCTTCTGCGGAGGCTGGGGAAGAGGTTCTGATGATTGAAGTCAAAGAAAAGGCTAAGCCATAAATGTTTGATTATCTTTAGATACAATCTAGTTAGTTCCCAAAGAGGCTGTAGTCAGGATGGTAGCTTAAACTAATGAGAGGAAAAGACCTTGCCGGGACCCTTGAGAAACCATAGGCAAATCCCTAGCTCAGTTTCTAGGATTTATCTGAGAGTGTGATCTTCTGCAGTGGCAATAAGAAGATTATTAAAAAACCATCCCTATTCTCCATTGTCATTAGCTTTGCGCAATTGGTATTTCTCCTAATTGTATATAGTAGGTTATTTTTCTTCCATTCTTTCTTGATGATGTTTCTTCTCTCCATTTTGATTAGGTTGGTCTTGGTTCTGAAATGATTCACTTTTTCCCTTAATTGTGTATGTGTGTGTGTGTGTGTGTGATTGTGTGTGTGTGTTAAAGTCTTGCATCTCACTGTTAGTCTTGGTTAAATGTTCCATGTATATGAATTTGTCTCTTACTTTGGGAATATGAGATTTTAACAAAATGTCAAAAGTTGGGTGATTTTCATTCAAGGCAGGGTGATGAGTCAGTCAAGTATCAAATCAACCCAGCAGCTGGGACTGAAGGGAAGCAAACAAGGGGGCCGATGGATGTAAAACCCAACTTGCAGAGGAGTCCCCTGAAGAGCACTGCTGGTCATCATTACTAACAAACCCACAAGCAAAATCACATTGCAGCAACATGTTGGAAAAACTGTACCCTTTGCTAAAGAAACAAACTTTAATATCTTCCCTCATATCAACTTAAAAGGCTCATCTGGCTCAACAGACTCAAACAGGAGGAATCAGATTGTCCCCATCTTCATGGAGGCTAAAGTGACATTTCTCAGAAACTTTTGCAAGCATTTACTTCAGAAGACGTCAGATTTGAGCTTCTTGTTTTCAGCTTTAGTAAAAAGTGACAAGGTTAGGAAGGCAGACTGTACACATGTCAGATTGACATATCCCTGCAATTTGCAGAACCTACATGTACAGCTGTTTACAAAATCTCCGAGTTAATTAAGTGCACTTTAGGAAGTTGTCCTCATGAATCAGCTAGCATTAGCATAATTACCAAAGTCTCAAGCTGTGAAGAGGCTAAAAGAGCCAGGCTGCTGTCAGAAGTAATAATACATATAGAATTCCATTCTAATAAATGCCCTTAGGGTATAATATTAAATTCTGTATAATAAGGCTATTTCCAAGTCCTAGAAGATGGTCATTGTAACAGCACTTTGCAGAGTGTTTTAACAAATTATATTAGCCAAAAAGCCTACAACATAGATGCATTCAGCAATCCATGTAAAATTAATCACTAGAATAAAATGTATCATTTGGTACTCACCATTTTTTAATATATCACAGAAACATGACAACTTTTACAAAAGGTTGGGTGGTGTTTTTCAAGATTTAAGGGAATGGAGAGAAACGGTTAAATATTGTTTACTTTATAAATGGGAGTTTATCAAGAGTGATTAGAAGAGCCAGAAAGAAAAGGTAAAAATAGGGCCTGAAAAAAGTCTGATAATAGGAAAAAAAACAAAGGAGAAAAGTCCTGAACTTGTAAATAATATGTTCTCTCCTTACATTCTATGTTCTTCCCCTGTCGTTTATTTCCCCTCCCAAACTATCCTTTTTTAGATATCTTCATTCTTCCAGTCTCTCAGACTCAAATCTAAGAATAATTAGCAACTCTTCCTTTGCTTAGTGTCACCAAATCCTTTTTTTCTTAAATCTTTCTATTGTCTTTTCCTTTTCAACTTCAATACTAACAACTCAGTTCATATTTTCTGTTCAATTCAAATAGATAATCACTTTTTACCAACTGTCAGCTCTAATCACTTGTCTACCTTTCTCAATCCTTTTGCCATGGTTAAAATTAGAGCTTTATAAAATACAACTATCTTAGTCCATTCAGGCTGCTATAACAAGAATACCACAGATTGGGTATGTTATAAACAACAGAAATTTACTTCTCACAGTTCTGGAGGCTGGGAAGTCCAGGATCATGGCCCAGCATGGCTCAGAGCAAGCTCCTTCTCACTGTGACCTCACATGGTGGAAGGGGCAAGGGGTCTCTCTGGAGCCTGTTTTATGAAGGCACTAATCCTATTCATGAGGGCAGAACACCTCCCAAAGGCCCACCTCCTAATACTATCATCTTTGGGGTTAGGATTTCAATACATAAATTTGCTGGGGAGGGGGAGAGGCAGAGGTGAGGGATACTAACATTCAAACCATAGCAACCACTTTTGACCATGTTACTTCTCTGCTCAGAGACCTATTAATCCCTCCTGGTGATTAAATCTTATTTGTCCAAATTTAATTACCACTATCCCAACCATACCCTCCAGTGAAGCTGGTCGTCTTGCTTTTTCTGGAACCACCACCTACCTTTCTTCCTCTGGAATTTGTCCATGCTACCTACCACAGTATGGAGTGTGTCTCTCCTCCATCACTTACCTCTTTCCTATGCTTCCAAATCTCTCCCACTGCCTCTAAAAGCATCAACCCATGATAGTTCTAATTTCAAGGGATTATCACATAGTACAGCATTCCACTGTTCTCTAACTTCTGTTTAATTTTAAATTATAACAAGGCAAAGACTAGATCTTATGCTTTATTTGTAAATATAAAAACAGAAAGCCCAGGGTTTTTTTTAAAGGAGCGAGGATAGTAATAGTCAACTCATGGAAGCAAAATAAATAGGATATCAACATAGAAAAGATGCTTGACTTTACTTGTACTTAAAGAAATACAAATCAGAACAAAAATGGAGTACTGGGCTCCCCTGGTGGCGCAGTGGTTGGGGGTCCACCTGCCGATGCAGGGGACGCAGGTTCGTGCCCCGGTGCAGGAAGATCCCATGTGCCGCGGAGCGGCTGGGCCCATGAGCCATGGCCGCTGGGCCTGCGCGTCCGGAGCCTGCGCTCCGCAGCGGTAGAGGCCACAACAGTGAGAGGCCACATACCGCAAAAAAAACAAAAAAACAAACAAACAAAAATGTAATACTACTTTATACCTATCAAACTGGAAAATATTTGAAAGGAGACAATAATACCAAGTGCTGGCAGGTATGTAAACTGGAGCTACTATTCTGGCAGTACACCTTAGAACTTGGCAATACTACTTCAGTTACATATCCCGGAAAATCCTCAAGCAGGGCCGTAAAAGAAAATGCAAGAGGAAATGTATTGTTTGTAGTACAAAGGAACGGAAGGCAACTGGGGTGTCTACACTAGGAGAATGGATAAAAAAAATATGGCATGTGGGATATGGATGTGTTTTTAAGATGAAATTCTATTCAGCCATTGGAAATAATGAATTAGATTTACACATAACAACATGGATAGATCTCTTTTAAAAACTAGTGTGGATTTTCTTAAGAAAAAAGAATGAGATCTTTAGTCATACCATGCATGTATATTTTTATAAAGCCTATCTGATCAAGACTATCAGGGACAAATCTGTAGCCCAACAAAGCCAAGTTTATTAACCTGCGGCAACAAGGGAGACCGTTCACCTGAGGAAACGTGAGTGTCCCACCAAACACAGGAAAGGACAAGTTATGATAGCATATTGGGGAAAGGTAGAGGTTAGGTAGAGTTTAAATGAAGTGATGTTTTGAGCGGCTCAGATTAAAGCAAGACTGTATGTAAAGGGGTTAACAACAGCCCTGGGCCAACAAGCAGACTCAGGGTCCTATTTTCTTGGAAACTACTCAGTTAAGGTAAACATAGACTGTTGTGTCCAGAAACCCCTTACCTGAAGGTGTATACCTTGCTGCTTCTCGTGTCAGAATGACTTACATTCTCCAGGCAAACGTGGAATGTTTCAGTCTGACTGATAAGATTTCAAATAGAAAAGTTTCTAACAATCTGTGATTTTAAGGAACAAAGTTTCTCAGCACTGTGTCTCTTTGTTGATTAGCAAAAGTGTTGTTTACAGTTTCACAATTTAAAAATATACAAAACACTATGTATTTCAAAAATATATACATGTCTAAGAAACTATGTTAAATGCATTAGAGATGGTGGCTATGGGGAGAAAGGAATGTGGAAGTGGTAATAGGAATAGATGAAGTGAGAAAAAATAATAAACCAAGAGCCTCAACTAATGAGGATAATGTGCCATGAACTGAGAAGCACAATTAACTCAATTTTATGGACTTGAGTTCAGTGCTGTGTCTAGAAATAGGCTAGTGGAGAAGTGAGACCCTCATTAATCAAGGGTCTTTCCTTCAGCCTCTGTTACATCTGAGCCACACAGGCAGCCACTATAGATACGGCTGCTATTTCATCTGCTCTCTGGGGCCTGTCCTGCCAATGAGGTTTTTCTTCTGCATGTGGGCAGGTCTCCACGTGACCCCAGCAGAGACTACTAAGCATGCTTAGGGACCAGCAGATACTACTAACCATGCTTAGTGTTAGGGACTGAATTGTATCCTCTTCAAATTCATGGGTTGAAGGCCTAAACCCTAATGTGACCACATCTGGAGACAGGGTCTTTAAGGAGGTAATTAAGGTTAAACTAGGTCATAAGGGTGGGGTCCTAATCCAATAGGATTGGTGTCCTTGTTTTTATAAGAAGAGGGAGAGATACCAGGGGTGCTGGTGCACAGAAAAAAGGCCATGTGAAGACACAGTGAGGGAACTCCCTGGCAGTCCAGTGGTTAGGATTCCAAGCTTCCACTGCAGGGGGCATGGGTCCCCTGGTTGGGGAACTCAGATACCACATGCTGGGCCATGCAGCCAAAAAAAAAAAAAAAAAAAAGATACAGTGAGAAAACAGCCAGTTGCAAGCAAAAGAGAGAAGCCTCAGGAGAAACCAAAACTTCAGGTATCCTGATTTTGGACTTCCAGCCTCCAAAACTATGAGAAAATAAATTTCTATTGTTAAATACCTATTTTGTGGTATTCTGTATGGCAACACCAGCAGACCAATACACTTAGTTTCATGAACTATGGCTGAAAATAGCTGTTTGTTGGAGAAGCAGGAAACAAGAATGAGGAATACGTTGTGGA